AGAGGGGGGTCTATTATCAATTTCATCTGTACGAGAGTCGCCAATATCACTGTTATGTCCTTCTGAGAGAGGCTCTTCATCTGTACGAGAGTCGCCAATATCACTGTTATGTCCTTCTGAGAGAGGCTCTTCATCTGTACGAGAGTCGCCAATATCACTGTTATGTCCTTCTGAGAGAGGCTCTTCATCTGTACGAGAGTCGCCAATATCACTGTTATGTCCTTCTGAGAGAGGCTCTTCATCTGTACGAGAGTCGCCAATATCACTGTTATGTCCTTCTGAGAGAGGCTCTTCATCTGTACGAGAGTCGCCAATATCACTGTTATGTCCTTCTGAGAGAGGCTCTTCATCTGTACGAGAGTCGCCAATATCACTGTTATGTCCTTCTGAGAAAGGCTCGAAAACACCAAAAATATCGTCTGGCAACCGGTCGTGACTTTCCTCGCGACCGGTCTCGTCACTCGTATCGGTACTGTTGTCGCTCATCGAGGCGAGCGACCGATCGCTTCCTATGTGCGACCGGTCGTTTCCTGGGTAGATTCGTTCACGACCGATCGCTTCCTCACTGCGACCGGTCGCTTCGCTCATATTGGTACTGTAGTCCTTCGTCGAGGCAGGCGGCCGGTCGCGTCCTATGTGCGACTGGTCGTTTTCATCACAGATTCGTTGGCGACCGGTCGCTTCTTCCCTGCGACCGGTCGCTTCCTGTTCGCCAAAAATTCCTTCTTCAGTTCCAAAAACTTCCATATTTTCCACTCCGAAACTCTTCAATTCACTCCCCATCTCCCCCTGAATTGGAGAGGAGGGAGAAACATAATAGGGTACTTCTTCATGAAAGGTGACATCCAAAGTGACATGTACCTTCTGAGTAGGAGGGTGATAACACTTATAACCCTTCTGAGTAGTAGAATAACCAATGAAGACGCAGCGAAGAGCATAAGGATCAAGTTTACTCCGTTGATGGGAGTAGACATGAACATACGCAACACACCCAAACACCTTCGGAGGTAACTTAGAGACCGAAACCGGAGGAGTAAGAGCACACAACACATCAAGTGGGGTCTTGAAATCAAGAACCCGACTATGAATCAAGTAAGCGGCGGCCAAGACACCATGTCCCCAAAGATGATGGGGAACAGACATATCCAACATCAGAGAGCAAGCAACTTCAAGTAACTGACGATTCTTCCTTTCAGACACCATTCTGTTGAGGTGTGAATGGAGTGGTAGTTTGGTGAATGATACATTGATCACGAAAGAACTGGGTCAAGGTATGATTCACATATTCACCGCCATTATCAGTCCGAAATACTTTAACACGAGCATGGAACTGAGTAGACACCATGGCACAAAAGTCAGGAAGAATAGAGTCAACATCATGTTTATTCTTCATCAAATACACCCATGTTAAGCGAGTGCAGTCATCAATAAACGTAACAAACCAACAGAAACCATTAGAACTCACACGAGCAGGACCCCAGACATCAGAATGTACTAACTCAAAAGGCAAAGCAGCTTTATTATTACTTAAGGGAAAAACAGTACGGTGGCTCTTGGCCATTACACATGTCTCACACTTAAAACTAGACTCATCACAGGAGCGAAATAAAGATGGAATATAGGTAGAATATTTTCAGATATATTTCATTCTCCGAAAGGAGGTATTTATAATACAGGTTACAAACCCTAGTAGGGTTTAATTAGGAAATAAGTGGAATCCTAATTACATAATATCTACACAAAAGGAAAAAATAAATAAAACTCAAATAGAATAGGATATGCTCTACTCGCCAACATATTCAGCACATTTTTTGGTGGGAACGAGGTTCCAGTCCAATTCAGCCATAAAAGTAGAGGGTCCTCAATATCTTTTACTGTGCCTTTGCTTGATAATCACAAAATTGAAGGCTTGAACGTCTGTGCTGTCTATGCGAGTTCTGGCTCTGATTTTCCTTACCATCATGAGACTCTTTTACAATATATTGGTGGGCATATGATTACTAGAGTCAGAAATAAGAGCAAGGGTCTGAAGTGGTACTATGAGCCATCATTCTACGGCATCCCAGGTGAAGGAGAAGACATAATATGGTTAAGCCACTGGAAGTTTAAGGATAAGCACTTAGAAGGTGGCGATCAAGTGGTTGTTTCAGTACGTATGGCACATTGCTTTCAGGTAAAGGAGTTGGGGAACAAGAGAGTCATAACACCGTTCACCCAGGGGAATACTTGTTCAATGATGAAGATACAACAGGTGTGTTGTTTATTGACGCATTTGATGATTTTACTCCAACTATTTCCAGAATAAACTAAATTATGAAAATAAAAATAAAAAGACATCTAATAAATTAAATTAGCATCACAATCTGTGTTGTTAGGATAGGATATTCATCATCTACGGTGCTCCCAGGTCAGTCCATATTTCATTTGAAAAATAAGTTTCCTCTAATTTAAATTGGGATTTTATGTTATTTTTGTATGTTTTTCAGACAATGAAGAAGAGCAACAGGATGATCGCTCAATTGCAGCCCCCACAGGCAGTAATCACTGCAGCAGCTGCCTCCATGGCTGGAAAGTGCTCATCACCGCAGCTTGCAACCTCACGCTCTCTCTCACGCAGACAGAAGCAACAGTCAGAAAGCCGTGGCTGAATTATTTGTACATCCCAAGACCTATTCGTTTCATAGCATCAAATACATCTTCTATTGAACCAAGTTTTTCCAACGTTCTCTCTTTATTTGTTGTTCTATTCACCAATAAACGATAGAATGTTTACAACGAACGGAGAAAGATTTTAATTGAACAGGTATTCGTCTATACCAATAATTGGCAACTGTCAATGCATATCAAGAACATCCACTTTTCTTATAAATGTCAAACTTACAGTCCAATTCAGATCTTCACTGTGAATTACAACAAAGCTATGCGTTCAGAAGACGAGGCTCACATTGCAAAAATTGGTATGGAATGGATTACAGATATATCAGGACAACATATATTAGATTAAATATTATATCAAATCATTTAAATAACAAACAAAATTTCAGAGCCTGGATCCAAAGGCCTATCCACTACACTACAGAAGCTCGTTTCTGGTTCTTCAACCCAAACAAATTATTGAGGTCTGGAACCATAGTTGGAAGGGTCATAGGCTCCGGAGCCATGAAATTTACTATCTTCTCGTGAACATTATACCTGCAAAAGCATATTTATTAATTTCCAAAACAAATCATAGCAGGTCCACATAGGGAAAGGAAACAAAGAATTAACCTATATATACTGATACCTTATCTTGCGACTCTTAGAGGCTCGTCAGTCCACAATCTTCCTCTTCTTAGTATGCAACTTTTTCAGAGAATAAAAGGCCGTCTCTGTGGATAACCAAATAGTGGAAAATCAGAATCATTAAATAATATGCTGGCAATAACAGGAAACAACTATGCCAGACCGCTCCATTTTGAACGTTCTAGCAACTTGAATAATAGAGTTGAGGATCGACTAAGTTCCAAACCCACCATAACGGAGAAAATGCAGTGACCTTATTGACTTTGACCACTTGGGGAGATACAATATTAAACAATTGAAAATGCAAGAATTTTTCAATGCAATTTGATTGCATTTGTTGTTTTGAACTACAGGAACTCTTAAAGATTGGGTATAACCATATAAGCGCACATTTAAAAGATTCATGTATGAAGTACGGGATGCCCCAATAATCTTGTTATGATGTTATAAATGAAGCACAATTCTGTCTGAGCATGCCCATGCAACCTTGGGAACTCAATTTAGAGGGAAGTTTTAATATCTTACAGTGCCAAATACACCAACTGCCGATCGCCTCATCTGCATCTGCTTAACCATTCTGCTTGGATCTCTCATATAAGAAGCAACTTGTTCACTGATATTCTGCAATTGGAAAGGAAAATTCATTCCTGTTGAATATCTGGCGAAGCATGGCTATAAGTCCACTCATAGGTCGATTACAAAGTTCGATCATAGGGCCAAACCTGATTAAAAGCATGCAGCTTGCTTTTAATAGCAGCAGCACCTGTGGTCACCTGTGTCTTCCTCTGCCATTTGTCTATTGATTTGTAGAACAAAGTAGAACAAAATGCCACAAAACATGTAAGGGAACTTGTCGCAGCATGACTGCTAGTAAAAGATTTGATCGCATGGTTCATTCGTATATAGCAGTCAAAGGGAACAAACTCATGAAGTAGCACTGGGGCAATGTGAAGAAAATTGAAGAAAACACCCCAAACAACCCAAAAATTGTTCAAACATTTTATAAACTGGCACCCATCCAACACAATAGATGTGTACCTCATTTGCGACATGGGAAAAATTTAAAATCCATGGGACATTAAATTGCTATGTAATCTACAGATGGGTCCTCAAATTAGCATAGCATTAGTGAAGCCAATGATATTCAGAAGAGTAGGATTACCTCTCCCTTTGGAGTATTCTCCCCCTCAGGAACCTGCCCATCCATATGTCTGGTATTAATTACTAGATGTACAAAATTAAGAAAAACCTATCTTGTTATGATGTTATAAATGAAGCACAATTCTGCCTGAGCATGCCCATGCAACCTTGGGAACTCAATTTAGAGGGAAGTTTTAATATCTTACAGTGC